CAATGACTCAATTATTCATAGGCTTCAATATTTATACTGTGGTAGAGAAGCAGGAGAAGATGAAGTGAAGTGAGGGAGGAAGCCAGGCAAGCAAGTAAGAGGCCAGGAGAAGTGAGAGATGCAGAAGGGGAAGGAAGTGATCCTGGCAAGACATCTGCCTTGCAGTCAGAGCAAAACGACTCGCTGAAGAAAGCTCTAATTATAATCTAGAACAGACAAGTTACAGAGATGTTATATTGATGATTTTACTTATTCACATGAAATAAAATAAAATGAGATGAAAGGATTGGGCGTAGTGGCACATGCCTTTAACCCCAGCCCTTGGGATTGAGGACAGAATCTTCTTCATAGGAAGTTCCAGGTCAACTGGGCTACAGGGAGATCCTGCCTTAAAAAACGAAAGAAGGAAAGAAGAAAGAAAGAGAAAGGAAGGAAGGAAGAAAGGAAAGAAAGAGAAAGAAAGAAAGAAAGAAAGAAAGAAAGAAAGAAAGAAAGAAAGAGAAAAGAAAGAAAGAAAGAAAGAGAAAAGAAAGAAAGAAAGAAAGAAAGAAAGAAAGAAAGAAAGAAAGAAAGAAAGAAAGAAAGAAAGTGCAAACATGGCTTTGCCTTGCTAGCGAGCCGTGTTACTGTCCATTATTTATTGTTCTGGAATTGTTACCCTGATTTAGCTGGGTAGGTAAATTGAGGTGCTTCACCAATGTTTATGTAATGCCCTGTTGAAATTAAGATAAAAAACCTTTATAGCCTATCTTAAATACAGGTAGATTAGGAAATATTTTTTTCTCAGAAGAGTAGGCATTTTAATGACTCAGTAAATGGTCATTCTAAGTCTTAGCAATGCTGTTGGATCATTTGAACTTAGATTTTCCAGTGTTTTAGTAATGAAAAATAATTGCAACAATTATAACTATTATTTGTCATGATTTCATGGTTATACTGTGTCACACGCTATTCCATTATTTACCTAGTCTTTCAGTTTTGTAATAGCCACAAAAGACAGGTGTTGTTATTTGTATTTTTCAGAGGAAAAATTTGAAATGCATAGTGGTTAAGTAACCGAAGTAACTGGTCTTATATCACAGAGCTATGAAATGGCAAAGCAAGGACTCAAACCCAGAGCCCTCTGACTCCTCACATCCATTTACCTAACCTCAAACTATGCTGCCTTTCTGCATAAATTAGGAAGAGAGTCTCGTATTGAACCAAATCATCTTTGCAGAGAGGCTTAGTTTCCCCCTAGGAGAGATGGGCCTTTCCTGTGCTTCTCACTCTCATCTCTGTACTTGTCGGCTAGCCAACAAGACTTTGACCTTTTGTCCTAATTTATGACCTACATGTTGAAAAAGCATGGTGATGGTGTTTCTAAAACTATAACTGTTCAAAGTATGTATAATTCACTTTTTAAAATCATTTTTTAGTTCTCATCAAGTTCCCCTTTCTGGAAAGCTTTCCATGCCATTAAAAAAGTATGGTAATATTAAAGCACGTTGACATGTACATTTACTCAAAGATTTAGGATTTTTTTAGATTTATTTTTATTTTTAATTATGTGTATATGTGCCTGTGGGTATGTGCACATGAGTGCAGGTGCCCACAGAAGCCAGAGTGTAAGATCTCCCAGGAGGGGCTGGAGAGATGACTCAGTGGAGCACTGGCTGCTCTTGCAGAGGACCCAGGTTCAGTTCCTAGCACCCACCTGGCAGCTAACAAGTGTCTATAAACAGTTCAAGGGGAATCTGATGCTTTCTTTTGATCTCTGTGTCCATTGCACACCTGTGGTGCACTCACATACATGTAGACAAAACACTCATACACATAAAATTTAAAAAAAAGATCTTCGGGGCCTGGAGAGATTGCTCAGTGGTTAAGAACACTGACTGTTCTTGCAGAAGACCTGGGTTTGAATCCCAGCACTCACATGGCAGTTACAACTATCCGTAACTCCATTTCCAGGGGATCCAGTTCCAGGGGATCTGACAGTGTCTTCTGTCCTCCATGGGCATTGCATGACACAGGTGCACTCACTTACATGCAGGCAATACACGCATACAAATAAAATAAAAATAATAAATATTTTTTTAAAAAAAGATCTTATAGGAGCTGGAGTTACAGGCAGTTGTGAGCTATCTGATATGGTTGCAATAAGATTCGGCTCAACCTGCACGGCTGCAGACTTGCTGACCGGCACCACTCCATTCTCCAGCTTCAGCTTTGTCTTCTGCCATGTACTGCCCTGACATACCTCTAGAGATAGCAATGGGAAAGTCTCTAGGAACGCCCCTGCAGGTGCCATGCTCCTTCATGCTCTGGTTTTTCATGCAAAGTTCTCTTTTTCTGGAATACTGTTCCCATCTAAATGTCACTCTAGGACAACTTCTTCAGAAAACATTATTTGAATTTCTAATTGCTCCTGGTGTTCCTTCTTTGTTCTGGAATTCTTGTGATACGAGAGTATTGGGGTATTTTTGAGAATGTTGGTGCTTTTCTTGGCTTGGGTAGCTAGGGTTCTGGAAACAAAGCCACCCCAAACCATTGGCTTTCGAGTTCTTAACTCACAGATTCAAATAATGAAGTACATGGACCACAAATGGAAATTTGTTGAAGGCAACTTAAGTCAGAGGGAAGGAGGGAGGGAGGAAGGGAGGGAGAGAGAGAGAGAAGCTACTGTATAGCAGGCAGAGTTCCCAGGAAATAGGAGTTCCCAGGAAATAGGGTACTATTGAGTTGCTAGTCTAGGCACTTTTTAATGGACTTATTGCAGAAAGCAGGGTAAGGTATGGGGAGGGGAATGAGCTGGGTAATCCAATTGGCCTAACCAGGTCCTCTTGAACATCTGTGGCCTAGAGCTTACCCTATTAATTTGTAATTGACATGTGTCTCCCTCATTAGACTGTAAACCTCTTAGAGCTAAAATTGGTCTAGGGTTCTTTTGTTTTCCAAGTTCTTAGCACAATGTCTGAACATAGTATGAGCTATGCATGTTTGTACTAAACTGAGCTTGCTGGTGAATATGGACTAGCTTCTCGGGGCTGCTCTAGAATGTAGCCAACCCTGTTACAACATACCCCTGCTGTATAATTCATTGTTTGAGGGCCTCTCCTCCCTTATGTGTATCATGTCCTGTTGCTTTAAATTAATATAAGTGTTTTAGTCCTTGTGGCACACATAAATCTCCTGGATCTTTAACTTGCTTATCTCATTGAGACTATAAATTGATGATAGGTTCTTGAAAGTTGACAAACTTTGAGCCAGTATTTAATGGTGTTTTAAATGAAAAACCATTATTTGCCACATCTTTAACTTTATGGTGATGTCAATTTATATTTCTACATGGCAGTGGCTGCTTCCATTGCATAAGACACATTTTAACTCTGTCTCCTGTTCCTCACTATTCCTTTGAAGTCCCTGACGTGCAGGCTGGATGTACTTTATTGCCACCTGTACACTGTTTTTCTTTTCTTTTTTTGATGCCAGGAATGGAACCCAGGCCTTGTATGTGCTAGACAAGTGCTCTCTCAGAGAGCTCTATCCACAGCCTATACTATTTTTTTTCCTTACTGAAGAAAAATACATATATTTTGGAAAGACAGAGGAGCATAATGGTTTAGGAAATTAACACAAAAAGAAAACCATCTGTTTTCTCTACTCTTAAAAGACTTCTAGCTCCAATTGTTTGGAATTTTTTTTCTTCTATAACTGGGTGTCCAATAATTTGATTCAGTTCTGATACTAGCAACCCAGAGTAGGCATCAGACCTACAGGTTAAGGAGTTGGTCCACTAACAGTCCCAACTTTAGGCTGCTATCACAAGGAATTGGTTTTCAAGTGGCCTAGAATTCTTTCTGACGTGGCCACAAATTTCAGGTTCCCACAAACCCCTTTCTTTACATTTGCCAATTAGTTATAAGAGCTCATAAAACTTAATGGCACTTTACCTGGTGCTACTTATTTATTTTACAGGAAGTTATGAAGGATCCATTTGAACAAGGGGGTAAAAAGCTAAGTAGAGGGAGATCCAGGATGGTCCCAAGTTCCAAGAACTTTTTTCCCCATAGAATTGTGTGCCACCCTTTGGACACAATGATACGTTTACCAACCCAGAAATTCTCTAAACCCCATCATGCAGGATTTTATGGAGGCTTCCTTACATAGACATAGTTAATTAAATCATTCACCAGTGGCCAAACCATTGACTGTTGACAATTAAGTCAATCTCCAGTCTTCTCTCCTCCCCAGAATAGAGGGATGGGCTAAAAGTTCCAGTTCTCTAACAAGATCTTAGTGTTTCTGGGAACCAGCTTCTATCCTTAAGCTGCATAGAAACCCAGGTTATCTTATTAGTATAAAAAGATCATCTTATCGCTCAGGATTTTACAGGTTTTAGAAACTCTTGTATCAGGAACCAGGAAATAATACCAAATATATCAAAGGATGGTCTTATCACTCTTATCACTCAGAAAATAAGAAGAGTTTGGGAGTACTGTCAGAAATCCAGAGCAGAGAATAAGCATGGATTTCTTATTATATCACAGGCATGGACAGTGGAGTCAGGTTGCTACAGTTCAAGTCCTAATCTACTGCTTACCCTACCTCTGTGACTGTTAGCAAATTATATGACACTTTTGCAATTATGATTATTAGCTGTGCCTCTATGGAACCTGAGGGGGAAAAAAAAAACAAAAAAAACCTAAGACTGCGCTGACAATTTCAAGAGTGCATTATCTTCAGAGGAGAATGTAGAATGCATGGGCATCCAGTCTTCTCTGCTGATTCTTGGATTATTCCCTGCGCTTGTGGGGACTCGACAGTGTCACACCTGCTGTGCAGTACAGCCCTAATAGCCTAAAAGGTGTAATGAATCTTGTCTTATAGTTTAGAAGCTCATGCTTTTATGCTTTTTTCTCTTTTTAGCATGGGTACGAATCATGATTCTGTTCATAAAGTCTGCATGTTAATTTAGTGTGGGACATCAATGCAACTAATGATGCATTTTATTTTAGGGAAACTTACAGGATTCTTGGGTTAAGACAGGAGAAGATTCTAGGGTAGATGAAACTGCTACAAGGCAATTTTTTCATGGTAATGGGGACACGGGCAAAGCTGCATCCACTGGTGAAGCTGAGAAATGGAAACTAGAACTGGTGAGTGTTGGAGAACTTTTCTCTTGTGCATCTGCTTTTTTCTTATTCTGGAAAAATATATGTAATATGAAATTTGATATTTTATGTATTCAGTTCATTAGATATGTCCACCATGTTGTTTGATCATCTATACCATCTGTTTCCAGAACCTTTTCTTCTTTTTTGAAAAATATTTTATTTATTATTTTTATTTTCTGTGTATGCATGTATTGCCTGCATGTAGGTAAGTGCACCTGTGTCATGCAATGCCCGTGGAGGACAGAAGAGGCTCTCAGATCCCCTGGGACTGAAGTTACGGACAGTTGTTAGCTGCCATGTGGGTGCTGGGATTCAAACCTGGGTCTTCTGCAAGAACAACCAGTGTTCTTAACCTCTGAGCCATCTCTCCAGCCTCCCTTTTCTTCCTTTTAAACAAATATCTCTACCCATTGAATGATAAATCTTTATTTTTCTCCTTTCCTTCGACCTCTGGTAGCCTCTGGTCTATTTTCTAGTTGTATTGATTTGCCTGTCCTAGGTTTGTCTCATTCTCAAAATCAATCTTCGTCCTTTTGTTTTTGGCTTATTTTACTTAGCCCAGTGTTTTCAAGGTTTGGCTTATTTCACTCAGCCTAATGTTCTCAAGGTTTAGCCATGCACTAGATGATTAGAGTCTCATTTCAGCCCATGTAATTTTTGACTATTTAACTATAACAGAGTTCTGTTTATAGTTTCATTTGTTGAATGACATTTCGATTGTTTCAACTTTTTAGCTATTGTAAATGATTCTGTTAAGAGCATTACTATTTCAAGTCTCCTTGAGTCTCTACTTCTTTTGGGCTACTACCCAGATTGGTCTTGTAGGGTCATAATAGTAATTCTTCATTCTCTTTCTGTTCCCAAGTTAGTCACTTGCATTGTCCTTGGAGCTCACCCATTCTCTGTTCTGCCTGCTCTCAGCCACTCTGGAAGAGTCACGTCAGTTAGTGTATGTTTTTCTGCTCCAGAGTTTCTCTGTGGTCCCATTTTGTAATTTGTTTTTACACTTCCTTTATTTCCTTGGCTATTTTTCTCTTAATTAACTCTGAATGTATTCAAGATAGTTGATTAAAGCCTTTGTTTAGACAGTTCAGTGCCTGTGGTTTCTAAAAGATAGTTTTGTCAGTTTATCCTGTTCATGACCCTACATCTTTGCTCTGCCTTATGTCAAAACTCTCTCAATAGTCATGTGTGATCTTGTCCTGCATTCTTTGCCTCCCATTTTTGCTTTTCCTCCAGTCCAACTTCAGCCCCTGATAGAGGGAGCATTCAAGCCTGCTCTTTTTAGGGTTCTGCGTTACCTCTATCTTAAATTAGTTTCTGTTACTAATGCGCTAGTTCACCAGGATTTCTTCCTTTACATTTCTATTGACACAACTTAGTATACACTCCATAAATATATAAAACAAACTTTTACAGCCCAGTGATTTATCTCTAAAAGAACACTCATGTAATTCCTGATTTTTATTACTGCACTTGACAGCCTTCATCATACCCCCTGCCACTCACTGCCCTTCTGATCCCTTACTAAATGTTTCATGAACATTTCCCCAGAACACATTACTAAGCATTCTAATTGATTTTTTCCAGTTTTTTAAAGGTATATAAATGGAATCATATAACAGTACATATTCTTTTGTGTCAAACTTCTTGCCCTCTGTCCCTTTCTATTTTCTTCCTCTCCCTCTCTTTTTCTTCTCCCTTTCTCTGTCTCTCTTTATTTTTTGTTTAGTTACTACCCTTTAGATACAGGATCTCATGTAGCCCAAGCTGGCCTTGAACTCACTATGGTGGCAGCTCTAACTTGATCTCAATCCCCCTGCCTCCACTTCCCAAGTGCTAGGATTCCAGGCGTGCTCTACCATATCCAGCTTAACTTCCTTTTTCCCACCATTGTATTTCCTAGATTGGCCTGCATTGCTACATGTGGCAGAAGTTTGTCCATTTTCATTGAGGGGCCACTGTATGATACACCTATGTATTCACGCAGTGTTAACGACTGCTTGTGCTGCTTCTAGTCCAGAGCAGTTGTGAATACTGCCACAGTGAAGTTTCCTTGTGTCTGTTGGAATGCATTTCACGCAGTTACATTGTACATGTCAATTAGAGGGAATTCATGTCTTGGGATATGTCTTTGTTCAACCTGAGTGAACAGTGACTATCTGCCAGGGTAGTCCTTTATCAGCTTTTACCCCTATCCACAGCACAGGGGGGATACTGTTCTGTGTCTTTCCTAATGCTGTTGTCAGTTTTTCTAATGAACTTACATTTGTTTGGTTACTTGCTTGGATTTTTGGTGTATTTGTTTTTGTTTGTTTGT